TTTTTTTTTTAGGGCCGTCTAGTCACGCCACAGGGAATGAAGCGGGCATGTTTCCCACCGTGCGGATCCACGGCAGACACGCATGCGGGGGGGGCAAAGTGAGACGGAAAAAAGCGTGCAAAAACGGCATCGAAGCAGCTGCCGCCACGCACGTCCAGCAACGCCGCAGCAACGAAAAAAAATATTACGGGAAAACATACACACACACACACACGAGGAAAGAAAAAAGCTAAAGCATGCTGCATTCAGTCTTTGCATATCCCCTCTTTCGTGCTTCTCTTGCCGCTGTTGTGTGGAGGCGGCGCGAGAAGCAGGAAATGAATGCCTAGGGACACACCAGACCATCCCCCCACCACCTCTCGCTCTCCCTCCTACGTCTCCCCTCAGGCGACGCCGATGCTCGCCCACCAGTCACCGTACGTGGGGTCCTCAACGTTCGCGTAGAAGTCGTGGGCCTCGACGACGGTGGCCTCCCGCGCGTAGTCGTCGGGTGAGTAATGGCGGTACTTTTCGCCGTCGCCAAGGTCGAGGATGCGCACCTCCTCTCGCACGACGAGGTGCGGCTGCCCGTCGGGGCGCTTAACGGCGAACTCTTGAAAGAGCCGCACCTCCCGCATCCACACACGGTACCCGTCAACGCGGACAAAGTGGCGAAAAAGGAGAAAGAACGCCTCGGACATGACACGGATGCGCACGGAACTCGTCACGACGCCGTGGTCGTGCAGGTCGTCCTCCATCATGTCAAACTGGTGGAAAAAGAGAATGGGCAGTGTCCTGTCCTTCAGCAGCCCCCAGTTCACTCCAGGCATGGAGGGCTCAAGCGGCTTCAGCCTGCAGCGCCACTCGTCGACGCCAAAGTAGTTGTTCCGCCACGCCCAGTCAACCTTTGCGTCGACGATGGTGTACTGTGTGTGCTTCCACGACTCCGCGACGGGGACCTGCAGCTGCGGCAGGGTCGACTGGCTGTAAGCCTTGCTGCGGTAGAAAGCCGCCGCCGAACGCAACACCTCCAACAACGAAAACGACACAAAAGGAGCGTCCGTTCGCTCTGCCGGGGCGATGCGGAGTGTGTTAAACGCGAACGGAATCTCTGGAATGGCGCTGATGCCGAGCGCCTCCTCATAGTGTCGCACCTCCTCCTGCGTCAAGATGCGGGAGAACTCCGTCACGGAAAACTCCCACCCGCCAACGCGACGCGAGACCCACCGTGAACACTTCTGCGCAGTGGTATTAACTTCTACCTGCGTGGACTTGGTCACGGGCGGTGCGGGCGGTGCACGGGTAATGACAGCCGCAGCTATTCTCGTGGCTGGAGACGGCAGCGACGCGGCTTGTGCTCTTGGCCCAGCAGCTTCGCCTACACGCGGCTCTGCGCTGCCGCCGTGATTCCCTGGCAAAGGAGGAGGAGAAGGCACGGCGGCCGCCTGTAGAGACGCCGCGTCTGCCAGGAGCGGATTCTTCGCCAAAGTGCGAGCCATTGGAAATTCCACATGTAGAACCAGAATTGCCGCGATGTTCTTCAAACCCGCTGCGTCCACCTCGTCAAAGAAGTCCCGCCGAGTGCTGACGACATTCATAACACCAACCACATGCCCTGCGGCACTTTTGATCGGGACGGCAATCTCCGACTTCGAGACGGCGTCGCCTGGGACATGTCCCGGAAAGGCATGCGCGTCAGGCACGATAAGCACTTCGCCCATCTGTGCCGCCGTGCCACACACACCGTGTCCCATTTCAATTGCCATGTGCGTCGGGCGTCCCTGGAAGGGCCCCAGCGCAAGTAGCTGGGGGCTTTGAAGCAGGTATAAACCAAGCCAGTTCACAGGAAGCTCCTGCAGCGTCGCCGCCGGGCTAGCATGATGGTTCATTTCATAAAAAAGCGCGGCGGTAACGTTGCTCAGCACAGCCATTACATTAAAGTGCGGCGTCAGCCGTCGGTAGGGCGCCTCGACAAGGGCCCGCACCAGGGCCTCCAGTCGTGGGTACAACTCCCGCCTTCGCCCGTCCGCGGGCACGGGGGAGCATTCCTGCCGCAGTATCATGAGCCTCTTCAGAGCGGACACCTGAGCGCTGGCGCCCCTTCCCTCCCACCCACTGGCGTTGCCCTTGGTGGGCAGTGCAACAAAAACTATAAAAAAAAAAGAGAGGAAACAAGTGCGCAAGCGCAGCCGGGCAGCCACCAGAAGCAGCCGCTGCGAATACACAAAAGCATCAAGCGATCCAAAGCGAAAAAAAAAAAACAACAACAACAACAACTTGCTCCTTTAAGAAGTTCCGGTTTGATCACACCTCTTCAAACAGCGCCATTGGTATATGCAGCGGGTGACTAAGCAGACGGCCATGCAACTCGCGCGGGACAACGGCCTCCTCCATGCAGGTGGCACCGTAGAGCCTCTGCAGGTGCGGACGGGGGCTGTGCGCCACCGGAAGCCAGAGCATCGCAAGACCATCCGACGGCGCGGCATAAAACGGCACACGCGTCAAAGGAAACAATTCCTCACGATACCACCACTCATTCGGCCACGTCTGCTTCGCCTCCCCCCGTGCAAAGCAGAAGCGCCCCTGCAGCTCCTCCAGAATGAAGATGTCGATAAAGTAACCGTAACGCATGCACGCGGCAGCGCCATCCCGCGACGGCGGTGGTAGTGAGCGGCTGTAGACTTTGTAACCAAACATAGGCACGTACTCCAGTACAAGGTCCGTTGCCGCGTTATCCGTGTTGGGAAAGTCAAAAGCCGCCCGAAGCTTCGCCTCATCCGCGGACGCAATGCCCAAGTCAACGTCGTCGTCCCAGGGAATGATACGGCCGTGACGCATGGCGCCAAGCAAAGTACCACCAACAGCCCAGCACGTCACACCGGCGTGCTCCAGAGCATCCAGCAAAGCACGCAATAGACCATGTAGCGCAACGCGCATTCCCACCGGCACAATGAGGCGCTGCATCAAGCTGCTACTACCCATCGGTTTGCGCAGGACACACACCCCATCAAACCGCGGCGTCACCTCCGCAAATGAAGTGATGTTCAGCGCCACGGAACTTGCTCCCGGTTTCGCAGCAAAACGACGCTGGGCAAGAAGCATGTAAACGGACTGCGCCGAGGGAGACTCGGGGGCATCACTCTTGTCCAGCAGCTCAACAAACTCATTCTCAGCTGTGGTGGGCAGCCAGCGGCGCGGCTCCGCCTGCAGCTGCGCCAAAACAGAATCAAGCAGACGCCGCACGTCGACATCGCAGTGGGCCAACCCCACCTTCGGCCCGGCCGCAGAGCCGGACGAGGAGCATGGCTGAGCGGCCTTCAGCGAAGAGGCACGATGCCGCGCCAGACAAAAGAGGCGCGACAACGCCCCACAAGACATCGCAACCGATGGCAAAAAAAAATTTCGGCAACTAACTCAGGCCACACAAGAGGCAAAAAAAAAACACACGCGAATACCACAACAACTGGAGTGTAAAGAAGTCGGAGGCAAAGAAGCGGTGCCGCGGCTCGGCACCACAACGCAATTGCCCTCCACACACAGACACACTGAGAGCCGTGTTAGGGATAGTCATCACTGTTTCATCCACCCCCCAATAACCCTTTTCTTTTACTCCCAAGTGTATCTGCTAGGTGTGCCGCCAGTCGCATGCGTGCTTTCCTCCACTCTCGCGGCACAAGGAGTTCCCCAGCTCTTCTTTACAAACGGGTGGGCGCATTGAAGAGGACTTGTGGAGCGGCAGTGCCGTTTCACAGCCTCTGGCAGGCAAAGACACACTCTGCGGCGTGTGGCACAGCCAAGCCAGGCGCAGCAAAACGCCTCCTCGCCCCCACCCCCCAAAGCAAATGTTTAACAATCAGAGGAGCCCTGGCTCCGTAAGCAAAAGCAATAAAAAAAACTTTCTCCCTTTTCCACACACCCACACACATACTTTTCTTAGTCCTTTTTCATTTTCCCCTCCTCATTTTAAAAGTTTCTCTCCCATATTTTCCGGCGCTTTATTTTTTCTTTTACGTGATTTGCTTCAAAAATGGCACACGCTTCGCACCCACGGCCCACAGCGTCCTTCATTAGACCCAATGGGTGCCATGCGGTGGCCCTAGGCGTACGGGCGGAGGTCTTTCGTGGCAACTTCCTTCGCATAGAAGTAAGATGCCTTGCACTGTGGTGAGATCTTGGAGCGCTTGGCGCCAAGGAGGCAGTTCCACACGTCTCTCACCTTATTCACACGCGAGGGACACAGTGATGCGGCGGACTTCCTGCAGGCACTCAAACCACCGTACCAGCTGCGGCAGACCGCGTTCTTGATCTTGGCTTGCTGGCGCAGCATGCAGTTGAACTGCGCATTCCCGGACGCCCTGCCACTGGCGGAGCAGAGCCTTTCGCGATCATCCCGGCAATGTGACAGGGGGTGCCCCGACAGGCTTCCGTCGGCCGCCTCCGCTTGTTCGAACCACGCACCACAGGCAAGAAGCACCACGACGAGAACGGCAACAAGGAAACGGCGCATGCTGCTGCTCTTCAAATGTTGGCGTTGCTGAGCTTGAAACTTTGGTGTCGCTTAGACCTCTGCCCCCCGTTGTGCGGCGCGCGTTGGCGGAGAACGGGGGAGACGGCGGGGGTGGTGGTGGGGGGGGGGGCGCAGAAGAAGACGAAGAAGCAGAGGAAGAAAAAAAGTAAATAGGCAACATCCTGAGGCAGCGCAGGCGGTGTGGCAACACAACGCCTTTGCCCTCCACCAAGTGCAAACAAAATCCCACAGGGAGGGAGAGAGACAGTCAGACAGACATAGACCTCTGATAGATATAAAAATCACTATTTCCCCCAATAACTCATAGCTAATTTCACTTTCTCTTCCGGAATGGTGTTCTGGCCAGTTTTCACTGTCATATAATATATAGCCGTCACACACTGGGTTCAGTTTGCACATATTTTGTCTCCCGTGCACGTTGTTTAAGCCTTCCCCCTCTTCTCTGAAGGTTGGAATACAAAGTAACTCGACGGAAAGCCGATTTCCGTGGCGCATTTCCACGCTTCAGCGTGCCGCCCACTGTGATGGACGCCTTACTTCTTTCTTTCTTTTTTTTTGCTTCACCGTCATCAGCGCGGTTCCCATCCGATTTTGTTTCCTTCGCGGTTCATTTACCCTCCTTCCGTGTCCGTGGCACGCCGGTGAAAACAAAGAAGTTGCATGATGCATAACTAATTACTATTGTCGTTTGTTCTTTTTCTTTTTTTTCCTTTTTTTTTCTTTTTCTTGTGTGTGTGTGTTTTTTTGTTTTTGTTTTCTTTTGCTTTTCATGCAGCCCAGCGGTCCGGGACGATTTTACGGGTGTCACGGCATGCGGCTGCAAGCCCTCTTCGCTCCCCCGCCCCTACCTCCGCAGGGCGTCGCCTTCTCCGGCGGAAGGGTGGTGCCTGCGGAAGAAGGCCAAGTGCTGCTTGTAGTAGCTGGACGCACTGCAGTCGGTGGGGAGAGAGGCCTCGGGGCGGCTTAACAGGCACCGCAGCTGCGCGCGCGGGCTCTGGCCGTCTCTGGCGCAGAGTGACATGGCGGCGTTCCTGCAGGCCATCATGCCCTTCGCGTACTCCCGGCAGGGGGCACTTTTGAGCTTGTCCGCATTTGCGTAAATGCACTTCCACCAGTCCTCGGCGGAGCCATCGTAAGGATACGCGCAGACGCGGCTCATCTCCCCCCGGCATCCGGAGAGCATCGCGTACCTCCGCGGCTCCCCTTGAACAAGCCGACTGCGGCCCTCACCACTGCGGCGCCCGTGGAACCTCGGCCCGTGTGGCGGCGGGCCCTCCACCCGTACAGCCGACACGCTGCACGCAAGAAGCACCACGACGAGAACGGCAACAAGGAAACGGCGCATGCTGTTGCTCTTCAAATGTTGGCGTTGCTGAGCTTGAAACTTTGGTGTCGCTTAGACCTCTGCCCCCCGTTGTGCGGCGCGCGTTGGCGGAGAACGGGGGAGACGGCGGGGGTGGTGGGGGGCGCAGAAGAAGACGAAGAAGCAGAAGAAGAAGAAAATTAAATAGGCAACATCCTGAGGCAGCGCAGGCGGTTTGTCGCGCAGTTGGGGGAAGTGGGAGGGGGATTCGTGCGTGTTTGTGTTGCCTCCCACAGAAACCCCTGTGCGGTTCGTTTTTGGTCTCGTTGCTGTGCCTTTACTTTTCCTCCTCGCCGAGGCAAAAGGTAGTCACATTTGAAAAAGTGGGTAAAATTTACATGAAGATTTCTACTCCGGGGCGCGGAACTTGTCTGTAGGCCGCCTGCAGTGCAACACGCCAGAGCAGCAGGAAGAAGAAAAGGCGGCGAGGCGGAAGCAAACAAAGAAACAAAGAAACAGTGAGTGGGACTACACGCGCAGGCGTCACGCCGGCAGTCGCGATGGCTCTCTCTCTCTCTCTGCTGTCGGCTCTAAAAAACTTGATGACGCTTCTTTGGCAGCAGAGGGACATTCTTGTAGCGATCGGGCCGTGCACGCTCTAGGTTCTCCATCTCCCTCTTGATGCGTTCTGCGTACTTGGCTTCCAGCTCCTGCTGGTCCGTCAGTTGATTCGCAACGGCCCGCCGCTCCGCCTCCTTCTCCGCCGCGCGTCGCTGCATTTGCGCTATGAGGTACTTCTGATCCTCCCGCAGCACCTTGTAGCGGCGGGCGCGTTCCTGCGCGTCAAGGTCGACAGAGTTGGCAAGCTCGCGAAGAAACTCCTCGCGCTCCTTCGCCGCCCGGGCGGCGTCGTCCTTCTCCTGCTGCCGCTTGTCAAGCACCTGTTGCCGGCGGATGACGAGAACGTTGTGCATCAGTCGCTTGCGCTTCGCCTCATCCGCGGCCCACCGCGCCTCCCGCTTCGCCCACTCCTTGTTGTTCGCCTCATCCCACAACTTGTCCAGCTCCCCTTCGTCCTGCTTGCGCTTGTTGAGCTGCCGCCGGATCTCCTCCAGGTTTGCCCTGGCGGTATTGCGGCGCTCCAGCTCCAGCGCCCGCTTCTGCCGCTCCTCCTCGGCCAGTTCCGCCAGCAGGCGGTCCAGCACCTCCTTGTCCTCCTGCTGCAGCTGCTCGTACTCCTGCCGCCGCACCTGCCGCAGCTCCTCGTTGAAGGCGCTCATCTCCTTTGCGAGGACCGCACGGGCCCTGCGGGCCTCCACGCGACGCTGCGTCTCCGCCGCCAGCTCCTCCGCCACGACGCGGTTGAACTCGTCGTCCTCCTGCTGCTTCTCCGCCTGCGCCTGCGCCTTGCGAGCCTTGTTGCCTTCCACCTGCGCCGCCAGGGCCTTCTTGGTCTTTTCCCTGGCAACGTGCAGCATGTCGAGGTCGCGCCGCGCCCGCTCATTCGTCAGTCGTTCCTCCTCCAGCCGCTGCTGGGCGAAGAAGTCATCCTCGCGCTTCTGCTCCTCGCGGCGCCGCTCTGCCAGCACAAGCTGCTCAAAGCGGGCATCAGAAACTTGCATCACCTTCAGTCTACTTTCCGCCAGCCGCAAAGAGTCAATCTTCTCACGGAACAAACGTTCGTGCTGCTTCTGTGCGTCAACGCGAAGGTCCTCTTTGTGTTGCTCGCGCAGTTCGCGGGCCTTTTGAATCAGCCGCTCGCGCCGTTGCTCCTCTGTCTCCGCCAGGTTGTTCAGCATCGCCTCATGCTCGGCACGCTCCCGCAGAAGCATGTCTGCAAGTCGTTTGCGACGGGCCACCAGCGCGTCATCGTGCTGCGCCTGCACCTTATCCAAGTGACGCATCAGGTCCTTTCGCTGAATCACGGCGTCCCCGCGCACCTCCCAGTTAGCCGTGAGCCGCAACCGGCAGTCCTCCGCATGGGCCTTGTTAAACAACCGCTGCTCCGTCTCGCGCCGCTGCCGCGCCTCAATCAAGGCAAGGGCACTGGGATAAGGCATTTAAGATATGTCTCTGGCAATGACTCCCCTGTTATATATATATATATATATGTCGACTGACTCTCGTGGTGCTATTCCTTTCGGTCTCTGTCTCTCGCTTCCCTCCGGACCTCACGGCTGGTTTGTCGTGAGCTGCCCTCGAACCCGGACGCGTCCGTGCGAGGAGCGCCACTCCTGTTGCTTTTCGCTCCTCCGCCTGCCGATGGTGTTCGTCCGCCGGGCCTTCGCAGAGACGTACGTGTGCGTTTTTTTCCCCCCCCCTTCACCTCCCCTCTCGCTTTTCTTCTTTTTCTCCCTTTTTCCTTCTGCAGACGCGCGCGTGCGGCGAAAGAAACTGAGAAGGCGACACAGAGAGATGCAGCCGCAGGAGACAACCCTAAAAAAAACACACAAAACAACAATAGTAAACACTTACGGCGCAAAACGGAGAGAGAGACACACACAGCACTTGGGCACAACTCCCCAATGCCACGGCATGCCACTCGCACGGGCAAAAAGAGCAGCAGAGAGACGTACGCACGGGCACACGCAGGCACGGCCTCAAGGCGTCGACTCCAGCAACATACATTTAAGCTCCAGCGCTGCCAACTCGGCCTCCTCCATCGCGGCCTCCGCGACCGCCGAGTCCTGTCTCTCCTTCAACAGGGACGCACGGATGCCGGAGACGACGCTGTCGTCGCTCATGAAGAGCGGCAACGGCGCCGTCCTGATGGGAAACATGCAAGGCGGCGCAAAGACGGAGCAGTACGGGAAGGGCTCTTCCCAGTCCCCCGTCGAGGTCCCCTGCAGGGTGCGGCGCTGCAGCCGCGCCTGCGTCTCGGCATGCAAAAGGGCGTCCAGCGCCTCGGCCGCCTCCGCGCACTCCTCCGGCGGGGGCGTGGGGACGTGGCAGCTGCAGGTGGCGGCGTCAGCGTCCGCGCCGGCAGCGGCGGACATGCTCTCTCTCTCTCACACAGACAGAGCACGCTGCAGGGAGGTGCGAAGTTGCAGGCAAAAAACAATGATAAAAAAGAAAAGAAAACAAAGGCAGGAGGCAGTTAAGTGCATCAGCTGGATCCCAGTCGCGAAAAAAAGGGAAACCCCCCACAGACACAATAGCCAGAGGCAGAATACATATGCA